TTGCCAACAATACCACAGCCTCAACCAGAACACCAATCACACCACCTACTGTTGGAGCTCGAGCAACAATATCGAGTATTTCTACTTCAATCACAGCACACTCATCAACAGCAGGACCAAAACAACCAACTCTAACAGTGGCTTTAAGAATTTCATCCACACACTCTACCAACTAGTCAACTTCCCATACATCCAACCCTCCTCCCCCATTCAATAATAAACTACTAGGTGCTGGGAGCTGCAGAAGAAAGGCACTCTTTTTACCTGAAGCACTCCCCCAAGGCTAAGGAAGTCCAGAGTTCTGTCACCAGTAAGGAAGAACGAGCACAATGTCCAAGCAGGAAAGGGAGCTCTCCCTCAGGCAAATCACAAAGCCCCAGCCCTAAGGTCATAGCACGCAGGGCAGCAGGGCAACAGTCCTCAACGTGACTCCTTACTAGAATTCCTTGAGGAGCATTACAAAACCAAAGCCTGTGTCCTGTCCCCAGTCAATTAAATCACAATCCTGGGAGGTGGAATCTAGCACAGATAGTTTTTTTAAAAGCTTCCCAAGTTGATTCCAAAGTTTCAGCAGGGCTTTGGCAATCAGCAATCTATAGGATTTCTCAGTGATACTTCTGGAAACCTCTTAGTCCACAAGTGTATCGGATAGTACAAAACAACAAAGATGATTCTCTCTCTTATTCATTGTACCTGCCATCTGTGTTGTATTAAAATATATCAATACAGTGATCTCTTACAATTACTATTTTATTATTTCTTTGTGTAGAACAATAAAATACTAAACTCTGATAAGTAAGACTCTACCCTAAGGTCACTCCCTGCACCCTGCTTTCCCACCTGCCTCCCCCCCCCCGCAGACCCCAAGGCCTCACTCTTAGACCCAGATCACTCGAGCAGTGAGGGAGCCCTGACTGCTTCGGCGTGGCAGGCTTGGCAAGTGGAACTGGCCGTGTCCAGGCAGGAAGCTGCCTCAGCGTAACCTGACGGGGAATAAGCCTTCACAGTTCAGGCATGATTATCAAACTCTTTGTGCTCTTCAAGGAGAGTAATTATAGGCATGTGAAAAAAGGGAAGCACTCCCTGAGGAACTCTTCCTCACATGCTTCCCAAGAGGCACGAGGGCCATTAAAAATTCCATGATGAAGAGGAAAAACAGCCTGGGAACAGCCAGGAGGCAATACAGCAAATTAATACACCAGCCCTCCTCGGGGATAGCTGTGATAAAACAGGAGACACTTCTCTCTTCGCAAAATAGAATTATACCACTAATGATAACATGGTCACCACACACACACAAATCGTTCTAATGATGGGTGTGAAATTCCCAACGCTGCCCAGATGCTTTGAAAGAAATCTTTTTTTCCTTTCCTACAAATAAAATGGAAAAAGAAAAAGATAAAATTTCCATTAGCAACTGTTTTTAACACAGTTAAACCTGCCGCTTCCCTGCGACTGTCACTCCTTAGCGGTCCCTCCTCAGCGCCAGGCTTCTGTCAACGGCTTGCTCTTCAGAAAGCTCAGTGTCAGGCCTGAATCTGACCTCACCTGTCCACCACAACAGCAGCTGGAAGTATCTTATGGTGGCTATACTGTTCCTTGTCAACTGAGCCCCTGCCAAGAAGGGACTCCATGTCAGAAGGAAGTTCAGCGTCGATTTCATCTCCCTCATTTTCTATGAGGTGTACAGCACTCACCTCTGCTGACCATTCCTCAAAAAACAGTAGTCACCAACTCCACTAACTGCGGACCCCAACGAGTAAAGAATTCTAGCAACAAATCCTAAACATGCAACATACTTAAATAAAAATGTGTGCTACTCTGCTAATTCCTGTACAGTTTAAAATATCCAAAAAGTAAACTAAAAAGATGATAAATATACATCATTCTAAAATATCCCTTCCTCCACCCCAGAGTACCTCCGTGCGTGTAACCAACTCTGTGCCCATAGCCCTGTGCATGCTGCTGCCCAGAAATGAGGATAGATGAGCTATAACCCTCTGTGTTCTCTCTACTTTACCTTCAGCAATCATGAAATGCTACAGGCAGTATTTCCCTCAGGCTGATGGTACTAGAAGGCACACAGTCTAGACTTCCTTATGTTTCCAAGATCAACTACAAGCAGTGCTAAGCAAGAAGGTAGAGATCATGGTAACAAGACACACAAGGCAGCTGCCCAGTCCAGCCACAAGATGAGATGTTTAGAGGAACAGGAACCTGATAAAAGCACAGGATCAGATCTCAGCACAGCACAGCTTTTGGTAGCAAACATAGAAGGAGGGTAAAGTGATTCACTTCAGTCTGACCTTACTTACCCAACAAGTTGACAATTTATTCAATGTTAAAAGAAAAAAGTTGAAGAATTGCCTTTCAATCGAAATCACGTGTCCTCTGAAACAGATTGAGTACCTCCTAAGACAATGTCTCTTAGCCTCTGAGTTAGGGATCCCTTGTCTGTGCTTCCAATCATTCTAGTGCACAACTTGGATTGTAAGGCACTTACCACTCCACAATGTATAACTGGCAATTTCCATACTTGACTTTCCCATGACACTGGCTTTAACTGTCTTGAACAGGGTACCTACAAAGAGCCTGGTACATAGGAAGAAGTCAGCAAATGCTAAGGGAGTGAAAGAATGAGAAATGATCAGCAGGTGTTAGGGGCCATCAATTCCACGCTGGCTCATAGCAACGATGAGGACAAGAGATCTTGGACAAGAAATCTTGCCTGATCCTGTGCAATACTCAATCTTTGCTGCACTTACACCCACTGTTGCAGCCACTGTGTCAACCATCTTGTTGAGAATCCTCAGATTCTCCACCTTTCTAAGCATCACATCTTTTCTAGGGACTAGTCCCTGCTGACAACATGCTCAAAGAACTGTTGCCGCTAAGGAGCACTCTGGCTACACTTATTCAAAGACCGATTTGTTCTTCTGGCAGTCAATACTTTCTGCCAACGCTACCATTCAAAGTCTTCCTTATTCACTGTGCAACTTTCATAAACACATGAAGTAACTGAAAATACCATGGCATAGATTAGTCATAACTTGTTGTTGATAAGTGCCGTGGAGTCACAGACAACTTGTATTCAAAAATTGTTATACTAGTGGTGCTGGGGAAGAGCAGTTTCATATCATCTCACAATTTTCCACATTTTTAGTAGTATCATTTGTGCTGCTTCTCTTTTAAAACTTCAATGTCAAATATATGAGCACTCTATTTAAAAACTTAGCTAACTCATTGCCATCAAGTGGGAATCAACTCAGAGCAGACCCTCTAGCAGGTTTTCATGGGCTGTAAATCGCAGGAGAGGAGACTGGTCATCTTTCTCCCTCAGATAAAGCTTACTATGGCTTCATGCATGCATACACACAAATACACACACTTTAGAGCACAGGGGACATAGCTGTAGCAACTACTCAGACATGGAGACTGAATCACTGAATCTGAAGCTGAAGACCATGGCTTCAGGGGATATCTAGGTCAAACAGCAAAATACAGTTACTTTATGAAACAGCAAAATACAGTTACTTTATGAAGGCAGTGTTCCACATACCAGACCAGTTACGTAGCATCTAGGTTCTTACAAGCTTGCAAACAACCATCTAAGAAGCAACTGTTGATTTCTTCTTGTCTGGAGTATGTTGCTGTTTACCACCGAGTTGGAACTGACCCATAGCTGGCCAACCACCCAACCCCTGCAGGTGTTTAGAGGCAGTTAATTACATGGAACAGACCCTCCAGCAGGTTTTTAGAGGCTGTAAATCACAGGAGAGGAGAATGCCCATCCTCCTCCCACAGAGCAGCTGGTGAATTTGAACTACACGCCCTCAGGATTGCACCGCAGCTTTTTGCCACTAGGCCACCACAAGGACTCACTGCTCATACGAACCACAGTGTTCTCTAACTTGAGGCCAGAACAAAAGGTACCACGCTACCACCACCAATCACTCTGACCAAGACCACACAGAAGGTCCTGGTTAGAATGGGTAAAAGGAAACCTACCTTGAAAGTAAAGGACCGACTCAGACAAGTAACAGATGGGATGATAAAAACAAACAACATCTGAACAATCCTCAGAACAAGCAACCACACAAGGCCAAAAGGGCAGCATTTACGGTAAGAAGAACAGGGGAACCAGACAAATGGAAATGGGAAGCCCAAGGAAGAAGCAGAAAGGGTGCTGACACACAGCAGACATCTCAATCAATTATTAAAACCTTATTTCATTCACATCTTATCTAGCATCAGAGAATTTATACTGAGATGCATAAAATTCACTCAACAAATATATACTGAAGGCCTACTGGGAGTCAGATACTATGTTAAATGCTAGGGATAAATACAAGACAAAGTCTCTCTCTACTTATGGAACTCATATTCTAATGAGAGAAACTGGGGAGGGACACTGAAGAGAACTGAAAAAGACAAAACTAATAAACAAGTTCATTACAGTTTGTCCTAAAAGCTATCAAAAAGCAAAGAGATTAAATGACGTGCTGGAAGCAGCTGCTTTCGAGAAGACAGTCGGAGGCAGCATCTGAGCCTAAGACAAGAGTCCGAGACAGTATTCCCGGGAAAGGGACAAGGGTGGCGGCCAAAAATAGTTGCTATTTTTGAAGAATAAAGCGGAGGCCTGTGGTATAGGTGGATCTCTCCATCTATGAAAAAAGGTTACATTAAAGGAGGTTGGACATGTAGGCAAAAGTCAGGCACACAGGGCTTTGCAGGTCACAGGAAGGACCACCAATACTATTCTTTGAGCATGGGCTATCACAAAATTAACATGAAATACGAGTCAACAAACTTGGATTAAAGTCAAGCTTGATTACACACCAGTCACAGTACCACCTAAGTCTTCAGTTTCTGTACTGCTAAAGGATCTACTGACTTAAAATCTGTTGTGAGGATCTAATAAGATACTATATGTATAAAAGTTTTATAATTTGAAAAATTTATGGGGAAAAATTATCACCCAGAAGAAAAGAAACGATTACCTGGCAGTGCAGTGGGCTGGTGAACACCTTCGGTGAGAAGCATCAGCAAGAACATCCAGGGAGTAGAGAGGAGAGAGGGGATTAAACTACCGGAATAAAGAAGATTATTTTAGTAGGGCTAGTATCAAAAAGAGTTGATCCTAAAGGGTAACTTGTTATCTGAATATTTTTCCCTTCGAATGTTCAACTCTTCTGTCAACCCAAACAGAGACACCATTAAATAAAGTTGCAATATTTAATATGTGCCCGTGACCAGCAGACATAAACACACCCCTTTCCACTGAATCCATTTTCTTTCACAATATGCCTGCAGAACGATCCTCACAGAGGCAGCCTGCTACGCCATCTCTCACCCACGGACTGAATGGCGGGTTCAAAGTGCTTGCCTCTGCTTAGCCGTCAAGTGTCTGACTGGTAAACAGCACTTTTCAAACACCTGAGATGTGGTTTTAACAGCTGTCAGGTGCTATCTTTACTCCCAGCATGCTATGAATGAGACCTAAACTGCCCAATCCCGCGCCATCCTCGTGTCTCTGCCGGGCTCAAGCCCACCGTGGCAGTCCCGGTACCAGTCCATCTCATTAAGGGCCGTCCTCTTTCTGACTCTGCCTTTCACAGTATGATGTATCTCTCCAAGGACAAGTTCCTCTGAAAATATGTCCAAAGTACGTGAGATCTATTACAAAATATGAGATACATCACTTAAATGGCAGAAGACAGTATGTTCTAAATGATATGAACAGGAACTTCCACTAATTAACACTGGAGTAGCACTTTTTCTCAAGAAAACTGACATAAAAATGACATTACATTTCACTATTTTGGCAAAGACGCTTCTAGCAAGTAAGTGATGAGCACTAGCAAACAGGAAAGTTTAATGTAAACAGAACCAGACCACCAATTTAAGTATCTAAACTCTCATTTTTAGTCTAACAAGTGCTCTGGTGGCCTAGTCCATAGGGAATTGCACTGCTAACTCAAATTTTGGCAGTTTGAGTCCACCAGTGGCTCTGTAGGAGAAATGTGGACGCTCTACTCTCACGTGATTTACAGCTTCAGAAAACCCACTAGAAAGTGAGCTATGAGTTCCTTGCTTTCAAGTGAATGAGTAAGTTGCCATGTGGTAAAAATTACATACCCTCTTTGAATTGTACTATCTTTACCTGATGGAAGTCTTATTATTGTGCCCACCTTTTTAATAGAGCTATCTGTGGAGGCAAAATGAAACACTGCATCTGTAAAATGTCAGTAAAACTGACCTCCAAAGATGGTCCTAAGGATCAAACAGTTTATTACACATTTAGGTACTTCATTGTAGATGTGCTTATTTTCTTGAGTTTTTTCTTCCACAAAAAAATAGTGCAAAACTAAGTCTAGAATTTCGGATAATGACTTCAAAAGTACCTAGAAAGAGGCCTCCCCTCCACACTTCCTTTCAAGGAGGGAGGTCCATCCCTTTATGGATTTAACTTTCTAATAAATCTATCTTTACTATTTTACCTTGAAAAAAAAAAGTTCTGAGAAAGTCACTGCTGTACCTGCACCTGAGTTTCCATCCCAGTTCTACTAGATGTTTAACCTGAGGCCAATGACTCTGGGTTAATCTCATAAACATCTGGCCTGTCGTTTATAAAATATCATACAGCCCTTCAGTTGAGCCTTTTCTACCTTTAGATCTCCTGATGCAAACAAGGTCAATAGTCTGTCTAGCTCACAGTTTTTCCAACTGCAGTCTCTCACCTCATTAACTTTTCTGGCAGGACAGGGCAAGGTTCAGACCTGTTGTTGACAGGATTGCTTTGAATCAGCTCTACAGATCCTAACAGCAGCAGCAGCAGCAACATACCACTTACACTACTTTTCATAATTTCCTTCTATCACCTTATTTTAACTGAGCCTTGTTCTTACTATAGTTTCATGAAATAGAGTGCTTAAAGCAATGATTATATCTTTTTAAAGCACATTATGATACACAATTTAAAATAAAGTTTCCATATAAATAGGGTCTACCATCATAAAAATGGTCATCAAAAATGTTTCAAATAAAGTTTCCATATAAATAGGGTCTACCATCATAAAAATGGTCATCAAAAATGTTTCATATATACTAGTTCCTCAGTGGCCCAGTGGTAAGAAGTTTTAAGTTCAAACCCACCAGCTGCTCCATGAGAAAACGGGCAGTCTCCTCCTGGGCAATATGAAGTCTCTGAAATCTTACTGGAGGGTCAGCTACAAATCAATTCTGATTCAACAGCACACAACAACTACCTGGTGGGACAGTCCATAAGGAGCTGTACTGCTCACCCAAAGATGGTACCTCTCTGGTGGTTGAGGAGAAAGATGAGCAATCTCCTCCCCTGTAATTTATAGTCTCAGAAAACCCACTGGAGGGGCAGTACGAGTCAGCTCCAACTTGACAGTAATGTTTGGAGTTGAACTACCACTGCAGTCGTTCATTTCACAATAGCAACTCCACCTGAACGTTCCAAGCCTAAAAAGATATATTCACTCAATAAGCTATTAACCCATTTAAAAAAAAATCAATAGGGTGCCTAAGATTTTTACCTACCAGCTATTTTACAACTCTCTCCAAAATAAATAATGAATACCTTAAACATAGAAGAACATAGTGACAGCCACTGTCAGTATTTTTCTCTTGTTGCTGAACAAAACAGCACAGCAAAGCAGACACTAATTCAACAGTTTCTCCATGTGTAATTCAACACTGCATGTTTGTTTGTTTTTGTTCTTCCTTGTTGTGTATACTGGAAATGGATCGACTGACACAGGAGCAGACTACCCATCCTTCTCCATCAGAGCATCTGGTGGATTCGAACCACACAGCTTTGTGACTGCAATGCAGCTTCTTGCCACTAGGCCACCAGAGCTCCTTTAGATCCCTACCAACTTTCCCTTCCTAACATCAACTCACTGACAGTGAATTTGTTATCTAATCTTTCAAGTTGTCAAGTGGACCCCATATAGATAGATTTTGAAAGAACAAAATACTCAAGGCAGACTGTTTACTAGTTATGCTACCCTTTGGTTTTCAAAAGGCTTCAGGGAATAAGCTGTATTTTATTTTGACCTTCCACAAGGCCCTAGATAGGAAAAGGCGCGCCTTCAGGGTGAGTTTCCAAGGCTGGGTTCCAGAGTGGTTCTACCTTCAACTGCTTCTTATGTTCAGACTTCAACCTGGTGCGTATTCACAGCACTAGATTCTAATACTGAACTAACCAAAAGCAGATGAGGCTTTTTCTGTTTTGCTACTACAGAGCTAAAAAAAAAATACAAACATGGTCCCTGTGAACTATATGCTACTAGTAATAAATAATATAAAGAGAAAAATCTGTTTCTTATTGGAGAGGATCAAATGTTCTTGGACAGGTATCTTGCAAGAAACTCAGAACTGCCAAGCGAATAGAAACTCTTACCTCCTGTGTACAAGTGGAAATGTGAGGAAAATCAGAAGCCAACACTTTGTCCTTTCTAAAGAAAAGAAAATCAAATCATAAAATAAAGACGACAAAAGCAACCTTACCTGATTTCGTTCTCTTTTCCCAGCGGACGGTAACCAGAAACTAAAGAGAGGGAAAGAATAACAAGAAAGAAAACAATAAAAGAAATGGTCAGAAAATACAGAGTTAGGGAGACAATAAAAAAGACTGGATAACAAAAACAAGTAAAGAAATAGGGTAAAGGAGGAATTGGGAGAGAGGAAAAGTATTAAATATGTGGAAGCTTCTTAGCTGACAATAACTCTTCAGAAGAGCTTCAACACAGAATGTTTAAAAACTAGCCATTTAGAAACAAAGCCAAGATTATGCTCTGGTCTGATTCGCTCTCAGCTGCACATTAGGACTTTAACTATGTGCACGTTTTGTGTATTTCTGTAAACTGAAAGTTCATTCAGGCTGGATGTATATAGGGTCCTATCTGGGTACTGTCCATAAACCTCACAGGAGATGTCAAAGAGCCAACCAAGTTAGATGAAGCTGGCACTGAAAAATAGGCCAGAGTGACTCTCATGCAGGCTTTCCAAGTACACTTCCACCACAATTTAAAATTATAAAAAAAGTTATTTCTATAAATGCTGCTCTTGTTGTTGAGTTTGTTTCCACTCATGAGACCTTATGGACAGCACAGCACAATGCTGCCTGGGCCTCACAAGCACTGCTATGTCACTGTATCACCTGATCTCACGAAGGGTCCTCATCTTTTCCTCAGATTTCCTGCTTTATTTAACACTGTGTCCTTCTCCAGGGACTAAGGCCTACTGATACCAGGCCCAAAGTAAATGCAATCAAGTTTTGCCATCTTCACATCTAAGAATTCTGGCTACACTTCTTCCAAAATAAGACTTGTTAGTTCTTCTGGAAGTCAGTGGTATATTCAATATTCATCAATAACACCACAGCAGGAATCCATCAACTCTTCCTCAATCTTCCTTATTCACTGTCCAGCTTTCACATGCATATGAGGTGACTGAAAAGACTATGGCTTGATGGAGGAACAACTTAAGTTCAATGCAGTACATTGTTTGATTTCTTGACAACTGCTTTCCAGTAGCTTTCTACCAAATTTCTTCAATGACTGAACATTCTCCGTGCTACATCCACCTGTTGAAACATCTCAGATGACACTCTGTCCATACCTGGAGCTTTGTTCTTTGCCAACATCCTCAGTGCAGCGTGGACTTTTTCTTTCAGTCCTATATGTTCTCAATCATATGAAACTCTCTCAAATGGCTGAACGTAGGCCAATCCTTTTTTGATGCAGTGACTGTATAATTCCTTCTATTATCTTTTGATGTTTCTTGTGCTGTTCAGTAATTTTCCCACAGTAAATTTCTCCAATATTGAGGCTTGCATGTTCTTCTTCAGTTCTTTCAGCCTGAGAAATGCTGGACATGTTATTCCCTTGTGTTTTCGAACTCCAGGTCTTCGCACATTTAATTACAAAACTCCGTCTTTCTTAGCCACCCGTTGAAATTGTGCTTGACCCTTTTATCATCATGTCTTCCCTTCACTTTGCCTCTTCTATAATCTAGTTTCAAGAGTCTTTCTGAATCCAAGCTTGTCACTTCTGGTATCCATTTTAGTTATTTCTTTCCTGTTCTTCCAATGACCTTTTGTTTTCTTCATGTATGATGTCCTTCACCCTGGAGCTTGTCTAGTCTTCAGCCATCTGTGTTCAATGCATCAAATTTAAAAATGGTTCTTACATTCAGCTGCGACATAATAAAAATTAAAACTTGACTTTCATGGACTGGTTTTCATTTTCTTCATTTTCAATTGCAACTTGCATATTAGGTGTTGATAGTCCTGGCATCAACATCTGACTGATGATAATGAGCTTCTCCACCATCTTTCCAAAGACGAGGTAGATGCAATGCCTATAAAAATTATTTGGGAGGGTCCACATGTTTAGCTGCCATTTATGTAAAGAAAAGGGACTTGGTCATGGAAAATTCTACCACGCAATCTCTGGTTCCACATGTGTCATCACCAAGGTCTTAAATATCAACTTCTGATCCTTTGTTTCCAACTTTCACATTCCCAGTGATTATTAATGTAATCTGACTGTATGTTTGATCAATTTCAGACTCCATATGCCGGTAAAAATCTTCAATTTCTCCATATTTGGCATGAGTAGTTGGTGCATAAATCTAAGTTTTAACTGTCTTCCTTCATGTATAACATGTATATATATGTTATCCTATCACTGACACATCACAGTACTTCAAGATAAATCTTTTTTTAAAAAATTTTATTAGTTTTAATGAACATTTACAGAGATTTTGGGTT